TATCCCTGGAATGTGTCTATCGGAACCTTTTCCAATCAATCCGAGGGCTCCAACCACAACTGGAATTATTGAAGTCCTCAAGTGCTACACTTTTTAGATTTCCATTTCAAGATCCTTGTATTTTCATATTTTTTAAAAGATCTTTAAAGATATATTAAAATAAACAGTGACTGCCATATCAATAAGAAATCATATTCTGTTCTTTTCGTCTTAACTTTTATCGTTCTGTCTGCGTCTATTGTAAAGTCCCATAAACAGGCCCTATCTCTGGAACTGGGTCTGGCTGATGTTTATACCAGTCTCTGGCAGTATCATTCTCGTAAAAGTCGCATATTTTTCAGTGAAGACATTGGCCCAATCTATCAAACCGAGTTTTATATTCAGTGGGTGGTCATACTGTGTAACCTGATACAAGATGGTCAAATGTTTCTGGGTATTTATCACAGAATCTGCATTTTGGATTAACACAATTTTACAGTGTTCTTGGTATTTTTTAGTTAGCAGGCATTGGCCATGTGTAGCAAGAATAAAACCTTCGGTTTCAGCCTTATTATTATTATTATTATTATTATTATTAGTTAATAGTCTTTATCTGATATATTCGCATCTGCACTACTATTTACTAATAGAATAATGTAAAAAAAAAGATATCTGAGCCACACAGCTCTCTACTTATATTTGCGGTCATCTGAGCGGCGTTAGAGACAAAAATAAAAAAAAAGATTAGACAGACACAATGAAAAGAACTGGAAATTCTCCCACTGTGGCCACTAACCTCAACTGGATTTAACATTTAACCCAGTTAAAAACGACAAAAGCATACAAGACATACGACAGGATTCAACATCTCAAATACGGGTATCCACGTTTAAGTAATAAAAATCTGTATTCCTTCCTTTGCTTTGTTTATCTTTGGATATGAAACTGAGCCGATATGTGTATTTCGAGAGTCAGAAAAAAATCTGTGTTTAAAGGCACTATTCAGATTTGATTGGCAATCGACACGCTCTGTAACCCAGAGGTCAAAACATGTCAAGCCAAAGCATATCAGACCAAAGCACCTTAGTTCTAATGATGGTTTCTTCTAGTAGAATGCTGGTTCGAATCTTGCCGGAGAGCACATATTTTTCTCTAATGAGATTTCTTGTAGACGAAAATAAATAACTGTTTAATAAATAAACGGAGCGTCTGCTCAAATACGAGAATTCACTATGAATAACGTTTAAACTATATATATATATATATATATATATATATATATAATGAACATTGAAGTCAACACACAGAGGCGACAGGCTGTTTCATGCCAGACGCAATCGTCAGGCCGCCCGACGATTGCGTCTAGTATGAAACAGCATGTTGCCTCTGAGTGTTGAATTCAGTGTTTACTTTTATATTTATATTTACATACGCTTTATCCCTGATATTGAGCATTTTAGGCCATAAATATAGCACAGCTTAAAACTATTTTGTCATATATATATATATATATATATATATATATATATATATATATATATATATATATATATTTATGAATGAATGAAGAACTTGATACATTCGTCGAGTCAAACAAGGACCTCTGCCTATGAAACGAACAAATAAAATGTTCTTGATAATAGTGTTTTGTCGTCGTTCATCTTTGTGGCCTTTCTGGCTTTTTTCTCAGCTTTCCAACCCATTTGTACTCCGGCTAACGGTAGCAACCTGTGAGCAAAGGACTCATTGGCGCCATTCCAAGCTATGCATTTGGCCTTCCATTCCCATGACTTTACGGAGGAACTCCCAGCTGAATTATTTGCTGAAAAGCTGTCAAATGGACAGACCGTTTCTCGGCACCTCCGACAGTTTCAAGTAGAAGCAGGTGGGCGTTGGTCGGTGAGGAAAAGGGACAGATAAGCATTTAAAGGTAAAGAGTATTGAATGAAAAGATTTAATAGGGAGGATAAAGGGAAGTGTCAAATGCGTAGGATTTGGGATACAGAGGTGTGAATTAAGGTGGCTTATCGGGATAGAAGCAGGAAACAAATAGAAAAGCCAAGAAAGATTTGAATAAAAAATAAAGCGGAAAAAAAATGAAACGGAATTTATTAGACGTGTGCTAAGTTGAAAGTTGGTTGACCAAACGTGCATATATTTGCATATATTAATGCCTGGACCGGGAAAAAAGGAAGAGGGTAAGAAGGAAAGAGAATAGAAACATGCAAATAGTTTCGATTCATCAGGTATAACATTAGGGAGAGAAAAAAAGAAGCTGGAAGATTGTGTTGTGTCAATATTCCAAGAAAGAAATGTTTCATGTCATCATCATCTATATTCGAAAGTATATTATTTATTCGGTTTAGCTAAGTACGACACAAGATTTTCAAAAGGATTTTCATCCTGTACAAGGCCCAAGAGCCACATAAGGTAGAGGGTTACAGAGTAAGAAGTACAGAGTATGAGGATATGTGGGAAAGATAACGGTTAACCCTAGACTTGAACAGAAAGAGTGTAGTGA